CACACACACACACACACGCACGCACGCACGCACGCACGCACGCACGCACACACACACACTCCATTAGAGACCAGGCGCTAAAAAAAGGTTCACACACACTTGTCCAGTCTGACCGGTTTGTGTCTGACCTGGTAGTTTCACAATAAGAGCCCGTATGTCTTTTTTGAAGGACCTTTACATCTTTTTTTTTTTGCAATAAAAGAAAAAGCAGCCAGTTTCTTTAAAACTATACTTAAATGTTTAAAAGACTAATTTTAGGGTCAGAAAYAGACAATAATACTGTAAAAGTGTTTAACTTACTGCTTTAAAAAGGTAAAAAAGCCATATTTGTGATTCAGATTGATCTGTTTTGTGCTGATTCTTATCAACTGTGGCGCCAAGGAAGTAGTTGTTTTTATCTTTGATGCTGTGAGCCTAAAAGATAAAGAATGTCAGTAAGTTAAAAAAAGCCAAGTCATGWGTCCTTAATTCAAAACTTGTGTAAGCCTGTATTATTTACAGCACAATAAATCCTAATAATCAAAATAAAAGGACACGCTTTAATGGTTTTTAATGGTTTAGGTTTTTAATGTTTCATATGAATTTTGCTTGAAGCTAAAGCTAAGCTAATTAGCTTTTAAATTAACACTTTTTTCTAGTTTTCTGCTCCGTTTTCAGTTTGTATATATGCTAAATAGAAATGTGTCTAAAGCTGAATGCTTGTAAATAAACTGGTTTGTTTAAAATAAATTATTAGGCGAGCCATGACAGAAGTGCTTTTATTTTAGTAGATTAGTCACACAATGATAGTTCAAATGGCAGCTAAAATGAATAATTTTAGCTAAAGTTTTTTTTGTTTAACTGTTTAATTTTTGTCTCTTGTGTTTTGAGTTGAGCTGTTTGTTTCGGAATGAGGAAGACGTGACGTAGACTGAGTTGGGATAGTATCTTCATTTTGTCACTTTAGTTTTAACTTGTTTTGGCGCAAAAAGCTTTTCTTCTCGGCGGCTCAGGTTCATTGTCAGAAGGGATGATTTAGATAAATGGACGGGCAGGAAGTCAGTCCTTTAATCATAACAGCCTCAGAGCAGAGCTAAGCAGAGAGGAGAGACTGTGGCCGACTGAGTCAGCAGTCCTCCCTCTCCTGTCTGTGTCCATCAYGCCGCGGCCTCCATTTGACTGTTAAATCAGCCACTCAGCACAACAACAGACAGGAGGATGAGGAGGCGCTCATTTGACGTCTGAGCAGAGCAGGAAAAAGATGCAGAGTGAGGATGGTGTGAAGCTTTAACCGTCTGTGTGTGTTCTGGTGATGGAAAGTGATGGTGAGCGTTAAAAAGGTGAAGATGGGAGAATGGGAGCAGCCTTGTGCAAACTGTCGGATAAAGTTGGGCAGCACGTGAGAAAGACGTCGACAGGTAGGATGACAGCATGCGTTGTGTCATCTGGAGGGTGTCGGAGCGGGAAATATTGGTTTATTTACTGGATGTGACCAAATAATAATAATAATAATAATAAACCTCCTCTAACAAAACTCCCTTTCTGTTTTTATCTTGTCATCTGTTAGTGCTGCTCCTGGGCTGGCAGCAGCTTAGTTTATTTAAGTGTTTATTTTTTTGTTTGCACAGTTCACAAACATGCCACAACTGGCAGCATGGTCCGAATGTTTTAAGCAAATAAATGTTTTTRTGTTGTTTAGCTTAATAAAACTGAAACATTCTTCTTTTTTATGTAAATCTTTACAATAATTAAATATTTCTTGTTGCTACCATATTAAATACGCAATGAAATCAGATAATCTACATAATCATAATCTAAAAGTTATTTTCTAACTGTGTTAACATTTGGATACAGTATGGATCACTGTAGTTTTCTCATCCCGGCTAAGGCTAAATACTGGAGAAATACTTGCTGCTAAAATGCAAAGGAAGTTGAAATGTTTTGTTACACAGATGATCATAGTTTAAAAGTTTAACATGAAAGATGGCAGATGATATTCACTCCCCTAAGGAATGTTAAGTTTTTTATTTATTTATCCTAGTTTGAATTGAAATTTTCATTTTGTTTGTCTTTTTTTTTTTTTGTTCTAATAAACCAGGGGTCTGCAACGTGCGGCTCTGGGGCCACATGTGGCTCTTTGGGCCCTCTGCAGTGGCTCTTTGAAGATGTGACCAAACAAAACAGAATTTTATTTTTTGTTTTTATGCTCACAGCACTAATAAATTTTATGCAAATATGTAATCGATACTAAATACAAAAAGTAAAATATGTTAGCTTATGCTAGCCTGWTTTCTACCTAAATAATCCAACTTCTTTCTATAGTCTCTCTCAAATCCATCTGGGTTATCTTTAACACCTTTAGGACTATAAAATAAGAATTAGGAAAAAAATGTCTGACTAATTCAGCTGCACTAGTTTTTATGAAATTCTGTATAAACTATAGTCAGTATTGTTCTTGAGCATGAATGTTTTTTCTTCAGTCTTGAAGTGTAAAAATAATAATAAATAATAAATATCACAATATTTGTTTTAGGTTTATGTCACCTCCACTGGCCATAAAGGTTCACAAAAAGGCCTTGAAAAGGCCCACGGACCANAGTCAGTATTGTTCTTGAGCATAAATGCTTTTTCTTCAGTCCTGAAGTGTAAAAATAATAATAAATAATAAATATCACAATATTTGTTTTAGGTTTATGTCACCTCCACTGACCATAAAGGTTCACAAAAAGGCCTTGAAAAGGCCCACGGACCATCAGTTGATAATCACAGTTGTAGCTTGCCTATTTTGCGGCTCTGGGCACATTTCATTAGCGAGCCGAGGAGCAGAAATGGCCCTTTTGATTGTAAAGGTTGCAGACCCCTGTAATAAACCAACAAAGCTAATTAATCTGAGAATCTCAACACCTGAGCCTTGTAAATAATTTCTGAGGAAACTGATAATCTCCTGATGAAGTAAACATACATTTATTGTAAAACATAAATCTTTGGTTCAGCTAAAGCAGGTTTACTTACATGAAATGCAAATCAGAAGGTTTACTTTTCATTTAATCACATTGAAAACTCATGAAATATTTTCCTACTTCTATTAAACCTTTTTATTTCATATTTTCCTGATGTCAGAATTTGCATGGCATTGGTGTCATTTGCAAACTGGCAACAGGTCCTTATCAAGACATTTGCATTTACGTTGTGTTTGCATATCTGTCTTCTCCTTTTGCAATCACAGAAAACACCTCCCTCTTTTTTACCTCTCTCAAAGCAGTGAACTGATCCATTGTCGTGTCTCTGCAGGTTGCAAGTATGCATGTCACGCTGAATGTCGAGACAAAGTGTCACTCGACTGTCACCCTGCGACGTCGCCCATCAGCCAGGACCAGCTGAACAACAACACACCGCTCCACGTGAGTACGCAGCAAACGAGTCTGCAGCTCCCAATCGTTCATTATTGCTCAGAAAACCCACATTCCTGCATGAAATGATGCAGGTTTTTTATTGTGTTATCGGCTTATTGTGTTCATTTATATTTAAAAGGCTTTACTTTTTAAATAATCTCAGCACTTAGGTGTATTGTTTTTAAAGTTGTTTAAAATTTAGGGATTTAAAATTTGCTCCTAAGTCTGAAAACACGAGCTGTCAAACTAAAATGAGATGACTGATTTTTATATATTGTGATGTAAATCTAAGTATGACAAACCATATTTTGAAATAAGATTAATGGTGTCCGCATACCCAACTGGCATATTTTTATTTAAGCTGATTCATTCAGGAATGATCTTTTTGTTGTTGTAGTTTTAGGAGATACCACTAGATGGTGCTGTAGACCAAGAGTTCATATTACTGTACCAAAAATAATACACATATTTTTTAAATTTATTAATCATCTTCAAAGTAATAATATTACATAAAATTTGTGACTGAAAAAAGAGAAACAAAAAAATACATTGTTTAAACTTTTAAATTATAGTTTTTATGTATATTTGCAGAACGATGGGTGAGTTTTCTCCAGCAAATACAGAAAAAAATGTGTAGCATAAAATATAGCAGAAATACAAATGTTTTTTGAAAAAAATGTTTTGTTGCGTGACACTAACAGAATGTTACAAAGCTTAAACAAAAGTTGATTTCAAACAGAAATACTGAGCTTTGTTGTTGCTTTACTCAATTTCATGTCTTAAAAATTAAAATGATTTAGATTTTTTTTGTTAGTTTTTAGCTTCTGATTGCACAAAATCTGGACTTTTATAAACTGAGATGAGCTTTTTGAGGATAAAGTGCAGTTATAGTTTGTTGATTTAATCATCTAGTTTTGTCACAATTTTTGTCTCAACTGTAGTGAGAAGCTAAACGTAGCAGATAGTTAGCTAGTAAAATACTAAAAGTAGCAAAAAGTAAGTGAGAAGTTAGCTTTAAACTAAAGGTAGGTAAAAGTTAGCTAGAAGCTAAAAGTAAATGATGTTAGCTTAAAATTAAAAGTAGATAAAGATTAGCTAGAAGCTAAAAGGAACTGGAAGTAGCACAAATGGACTTTGTATTCTCAGAGATTGGAGTGTTTTTGAAGGATCTCTGTGTACACTGTCAGATAATACATACCAGAAAACACATGAGCTAACACATGAAGGAGTCAAACCTTGTGACATTTTTCTTGTAAGGCTACAATCCTGACCCACTGCTCCACAGTGCAGCCCTCCTCCAAAACACCAMCAACAAAGTTTATGACTCAAATCTGTACTCTGGGCTTTCTGGTTGGATGTATTTACTTACACAAGCATGCAAACTCATCCTAACATGATGGTTGATCCTCGGGGAGTCGACACAGTTCTGCTGCTTTAAATAAGTCTCCCAGCGGTGCTCTCAGTGGTCTGTACACACCTGTCAACACCAAGTGATTTGCACGCACACTCGTATTCACACACCTGTGTCAGTTCTGGATCAGGTGACACAGATCTGGACCGACAGACCGGTGTGGGAAAGTCTGCTTGTTCAAACTATTCGAAACTCATTTACTAAAATTAGAAATAAAGCTAAATATAGAAATATTAGTTTAACAATCAGCCTTAAATTGACCATAACTCGGTCATCATGAGATAAACAGCAGCAGCAGAGATCAAACACTGGCGTCATCAAACCTTGTTAGTCAACCTCTGACTGGTATTAAATYATTAACTGGGTAATATAATCATGGTCTGCCCTGAATGTGCAGCACATGGAACMTGAACACAAGAACCACTGAGAGCAAAATGAGTGAGTTCTCCACAACAACCAAAAAATGACCACATCTCATAATTCTTACCATTTTTTTTCTTGCTTTAAGTTCTTTGAGCCCATCTTTAGAACAGAAAACCATCCTGAGTGTTTGTAACGCCGCCGCCTCCTGCTCTGTGATTGGCTGAAGTAAAAGAAGAGGCTGTAAATGAGAATAATAATGTCCACTTCCTGTCTGCTGRGAAAGACAGGAAACAAAGACGGAGCAGGGAGTTAGAAAATACAGCTGGAGAGGAAAGTTCACGTTTTTTTTTCCTTTAATGGAAACACGTTAACACCACCGCGTTGAAACTAGCTCATTTATCTGGTTGTGATTAAAAACCACAGCTTTTTAGGAGAGCAATTAAAAACTGCAGGAGTTACTGTAAAAAAAGATGAGTATCACTTCTTAATAAATTTTTCTCATTGTGTATGAGAGATTTGTTTAATTAGCTCATATAGATCTTTTTTTTTTGGACAAATTAAGAAACAAAGTTAAAATTAGCTTTAGCTAGTTAGCTTTACAGCTAACACCAAATCTGATAAGGTTTTTATTGTGGCTGCATTTTTAAAACGTTTCTTATTTTATAACGTCAGTAGATTAAATGTCTGTAAAACTGCTGTGTCTTTGTGAAAAGCTCTAAACCTAAAGCTGCTGAGTGACTAAAATATCCYTGAATATCTCACCAGCATCACTATCAAACATCTGATTCAGGCAGTTTTTCCTCTAAACAAACGTCATCGTTATCCGGTTAAACCCAGAACTCTTTCTTTTTGTGTATCGAGCTTAATCTTCTCTTCCCTCCAGCCCTCTAATCAGCCACCTATTGTGTCAAGTAGAGAAACAAACCAGAAGCAGGAGAGGAAATGGAGGGAGAATTATATCAAACAGAACTTGAGATAAAAAAAAAAATCAAAGCACAGGTTTCCGTTCTGCAGGGAGGGAGAGACAAATAGGGAGATTCAAGTTTTTTTTTATTTTAGAGAATGATTTTATTATTTTCTGGTTTTGTCTTTATGTGAATATTTTAATTCACTTTTAACATGTCGCACATCATTTCTTAAAACCATAAAAATCTCTTCAAGCTCGCTATAGACCCCAGCTTTCCCACAGAACCCAGTTTTGCCCTGTCATTAGGGAGAAACTAGCATCATGCTTATTTTCGTCCTCTTAAAGATAATTATGTTTCAGCTGTAAAGGGTTGCATCTTTTAAGCTCGTAACTGATTCAAAAATGGATAAAGCGAGGTTTATGCAGACAACTTCTGCTTACAATCTACCAATGTACACTTGGAGAACACGTTTCCTCAGACAGGAAGCTAATCTTATGGAAGGAAAAACTCAGTGTTAAGAGATTTGTCTTCTGCTTTATTATTATTTATATTCTTATTTATATTTGAATCCAGTTATTCCAGTGACCATTTGAAGTGATCTATATTTAGTATCAAAGGAGCCATGGTGTCTTYCGTAGAGCAAGGAGGAAGAGGAGTCGTCATCCAGGCTAGGCTAAAGGCTAAAGGCTAGCCAAACCAGGGCTCATTTTACATCACATTTCAGGCTTTTAAAAACTGATGTAATTCTGGTGTGGAAAAAATGCTAGCAATGAAATGTTTGTTCACGTCAGTATTTTTAAGACAGAGTTGTTTTGTAAGACTAAAAAGCTACATCCTTGTGAAAGTATTCGGCCCCCTTGAACTTTTCAACCTTTTACCACATTTCAGGCTTCAAACATAAAGATATAATTTTTTTCTGAGAATAAACAAAAAGTGGGACACAATTGTGAAGTGGAATGAAATTAATTGGATATTTTAAACTTTTTTAACAAATAAAAAACTGAAAAATTGAGCGTGCAATTTCGGCTCCCTTGCGTTAATACTTTGTGACGCCACCTTTAGCTGTGATTACAGCTGCAGGTCTCTCGGGGTATGTTTCTATCAGTTTTGCACATGGAGACACTGAAATTCTTCCCATTCTTCTTTGCAAAACAGCTGGAGCTCAGTGAGGTTGGATGGAGAGCGTTTGTGAACAGCAGTTTTCAGCTCTTTCAACAGATTCTTGATTGGATTCAGGTCTGGACTTTGACTTGGCCATGCTAACACCTGGAGATGTTTATTTGTGAACCAGATTCTGCTTTATGTTTTGGATCACTGTCTTGTTGGAAGACAAATCTCCGTCCCAGTTTCAGGTCTTTTACAGACTCCAACAGGTTTTCTTCCAGAATGGTCCTGTATTTGGCTCCATCCATCTTCCCATCAGTTTTAACCATCTTCCCTGTCCCTGCTGAAGAAAAGCAGGCCCAAACCATGATGCTGCCACCACCATGTTTGAMAGTGGGGATGGTGTGTTCAGGGTGATGAGCTGTGTTACTTTTACACCAAACATATTTTGCATTGTGGCCAAAAAGTTAGATTTTRGTTTTATCTGAGCAGAGCAGCTTCTTCCATGTTTGTTGTGTCTCCCAGGTGGCTTGTGACAAACTTTAAACGAGACTTTTTATGGATATCTTCGAGAAATGGCTTTCTTCTTGCCACTCTTCCATAAAGGCCAGATTTGTGCAGTGTACCAATGATTGTTGTCCTATGGACAGACTCTCCCACCTCAAATCCAGCTTTAAACTTCTCCACAACAGTATCTCGGACCTGCCTGGTGTGTTCCTTGGTCTTCATGATGCTCTGTACACTTTAAACAGAACCCTCTGTCTATCACAGAGCAGGTGTGTTTATACATTAATTACACACAGGTGGATTCTATTTATCATCATCAGCAGTCATTTAGGACAACGTTGGATCATTCAGAGATCCTCACTGAACTTCTGGAGTGAGTTTGCTGCACTGAAAGTAAAGGGCGGAATAATATTGCACCCCCCCACTTTTCAGTTTTTTATTAAAAGTAGCTGGTTTGGCTAGCTGTTGACAGCCTGGAAGAAGATTCGCTCTTTTCTCTATGCTCCAAATGCTCTCTAGAAAACAAACAACGTCCTCGAAACCTCACAGAAATAGATTTGAACAGAAGCAGAGTCGTTGAACAGAGGAATGAAATGTTAACAGCCAGTTTTGAACTGTAATCTTTTTGGATTGTCCAGGATTAACTCCTCAGTCTGACAGACAAAAAGCACCCCCCATCCTCAGCTGCCTGTTGCAGAAACAGGACACCAGTCTGC